CACCTGGCTTACTCATACATTCTCTGCACAGCAATGCACTGAAGTTGTCTAGGGTGCCAAGCACCGTCACTGGGTGCTGAGGCACCTTGGGAATAAGACAGGCAGGGACTCTGCCTCCTGGGATTTACATTCTGCCAAAGGGAGACAGGCAATCAACAAATAAACAGTATATAAAATGCTCAAAGCAGTAAGTTTTATGAAGCTAAATAAAGCCAAGGAAGGAATAGAGAGTAAGAGTGTGGGGTGGTGACGAAGGCTTCTTTGCTGAGATGGCATTTGCTACACCAGAATGAAGGAGAGAATGAGCCCTCTGAGGACCTGAGGAACCATGTCTAGGTGGGAATAGGAAGGGCAGAGGCCCTAGGTGGGAGTCAACTTGGCCTGTTTGGGGAACAAGACCAGTATGGCTAGGGTGCAATGAATAAAGGGGAAAGCATTTGGAGATGATTTCAGAGATACATTCAGGGTTGGGATACATACAGCCTTGAAGCCACCCCCTGACAGGAAAATGAAGTTTTACTCAGTATAAGGGCAGCCCTGAAGGTTTTGAGTGATGGAGTGCCATGATCTGGTTTAGTTTGGACTATGTTATTGCGGAGGCTATGTGGGGTTTAGCCTGGGTGCAGGGCCAGATTCAAACAGGGAAGTTGTGTAGGCGATTGTAGTGGTCGAAAGGAGAAAGAACTTGCATTGGGTGATGGTGTTGGGGAAGGGAATAACTGGCTGGATTTGGGGTCTATTTGGAGGGCGGAGCAGATCAGTTTCCTGATGCATTCAGCTGGGGCAGGGAAAGAAAACTGACGTGAGCCACTGGGTGAACAGAGATGCCATTTCCTGAGACTTGGGCAGGAGAAGCTGTGGAGGAAAAGTCCAGACTTCAGGGTGCTTTGGATGTGAACCCCTGGAGGGGCTCACGAGGTACCTGAGTGGAGATGCTCAGAGGTGTCGGGTGTGTGAGCTGGGGTTTCAGGGGAGGACTCAGGACCAGAGGTATGAACTTGGGAGACACCAATATACAGATGATGTTTCAAGCCCTGAACTTGAAACTTCTGGGTGGGATTACCTCAGGACTCAATAAATACTCAATAAATACTTGCTGAATACTGAATGGATGTTGAGGGCTAGAGAATTGGGCTAAAATGCAGGTCTGACACAAAACTTTAAGGTACATAACTTGCACTAGTCAATTGTATGACCTTGGGCCATGTCCTGTCTGAGCTTCAGGACAAGGAGAAGAAAGAATTGTACTGAAGGAAAGAGAGAGAGAGAGAGGCTGACAGAGGGAAAGAGCCACTGCAAGGAAAAAAGGAGTACAAGGAGGAGTCCCAGATGGACAGGGAACATTGAGGAAAGGCCGTCAGGGAGCGGGAGAAGGGGTAAGAGCCCACATTCCTGGCTGGGACGCCTTTCATCTTCCATTCCCGTCGCTTGTGTCCTTACAATCACCCTGTGCCCACTGAGTGCTTTCTTTGGTTTTGTTGAACATTCCTGGCTGGGACGCCTTTCATCTTCCATTCCCGTCGCTTGTGTCCTTACAATCACCCTGTGCCCACTGAGTGCTTTCTTTGGTTTTGTTGACTGCACTTTCTAGAATGACTCATGGAGCTCACTTTGTAAGGCCCCTTGGGAGCAATTCATTTCCATTTGGTATCAGAAATAAAACAGGATTTCTCGAGAAATCTAAAACAAACCCTGAGAAGTCTAGAAATCCCATAATTAAACAGGTTTTTGTGTATGTGTTGATGCTGGGAAGCTTAGAGCCTTTGTGAGTGGCATTTTTTAATAAACCTCATTCCAACTCCATTTTATGCCCCCATCAAGTTTGTTTTTTATTTATATATGCTTCTTGTTTAAATTTCTTTCCTGTCTTCAAATGTCCCTGACAACCACATTAGCTACTATATGGAGCAAGACAGGAACTAGCACATAACTGCAGCATCTGAAAGAGCCTTCATTTCAACTCATCTCCACCATTGCCCTTTGCCACTCACTTACCAGACATGTGTCTCAATTTCTGGCAGAGAAATTATGTCACTGAGGTCCATCATGGGACTGTGACCCAAGTTTCTGCCCTCTTTTCCAGGGGTGGGTAGTAAATGAGCCTCCTTCCTCCAGCCACTCTCTGAATGAGGAGTAGGAGTAGCTTCACTACTTATACAAGGAATAAAAGAGCCCCAAATGATGCCAGCACACTTATCACATCCTTTTCAGTCAAACTATGCTAGTCCAGCTCCATTCAGAAAAACAGCCAATACAGTTACTTGCTTGCTTTGGCTTGTAACTGGGGTCCCAGCTTGACGATCTAAATTTTATTTGTCCTAGGATACAGTTCCTAGGCACATACGGAGGAAGGTGGTTTGGGCCCCCGAGGGCATGAAGGACTACTGCCTGAGCCAAAGTCAGCTCACATCTGGAATGGAGAGGTCACTGTGCCCCAGAAGCAAGGTCACATCATGGAGTCTTTGGCCTTGGTCATGACTGAAGACATCACTGCAACAACCCAGAGCGGGAAAAGAGGAAAATGGCAGCCAAGAATACTACATGAGATGGGCCACTTCTGGGAGACTCCAGAATAAGCAAAGGGAAGAATTTGAGGGGGCTGGAACTACTGCAACAGTGGGTAGAGGAAGAGTCAGAGAAATATTGTTTTGATTCTGCATTATTGAGACCCAAGCTGGTTTGACCTAGAGAAATTCTAGTTAGAGACTATTTTTAGAAAAGGCTGAACTATTAACAGCATGGAGAATGTTTATTTAAATCTATTTCTATTAGCTCCCATGAACACTAAAGTAAATTTCCGTATAATGCAGAAGCCCTTACGAGCTCACTCATTGTTGGGAATGAGTAATCTGTATATTGGAGAGGGAAGATGTATTTCCAGTCTTTGATCCATCATTTGTGAACATTTATTAAGGACTGATTACAAGCTTACACTGTGCTTACAGCAGATCTACTTACAGAAAAAAAGGAGGTTGTCATGGAAACTGCAGATAGCTACAGCCCTCTCTGGGCCCAAATGAGAAGCTAAATGCCCTCTGACCAAATTATTGTGTGTAGCCAAAAAACCTAGGAGCTTCAAGACTGTTATAATACTAGACTTCTGGTTTCATGAATGACTCTCATTCTAGTTCTGAAATGTGCTATGAAGTCAGGGCCCTTCGGATCAAGAGAAAGATAATGAATCAAGCAGGTGACACACCCTTCAAGGTCAGTGCTGTGTTTTAGAGCATGCAAATCCACCCTGTCTGCATTTGTATTAGCCTGGCTTACACTGCAGAGAGAGCAAAGGGGTGAGGGCAGAGGGCATCTGATACATCAGGTGGACTAGGTTGAGCTGATCATATGATACTTCTCTGTTTGGTTCACACTAATAAGGCCCAGAATCCCAAAGACAGATGGTACAGCCCAAGGACAAAGGCTTGCCTTTCACTTAAAGTACCTGCCATCTCAAATTCCATCTCCACTACTTAATGGTTCTTTGACATTAGGCAAATCCCTCAAATCCTCAGAACCTCAGATGCATCCTATATTAAACAGAGTATCAGTTATTGGATCACAGAGGTAGTTGAAGAAAAAAATGAGAAACTGCATTTGAAAAGTTTTTTTTTTTCTTTCAAATATTAGGAATTAGTGATACTTTTATTTAGTTTCATGGAATGAGGTTAGTATCCAGTTCAGGGCTATGTTGCATTTATTCAGCTTTCTGTGCTCAGATTCTAGCAGAGTGCCTCCTTTACTGCAGGAGTTTAGTAAATGTTTGTTGTTGAAAAAATGAAAAAGGGCAACAATTGCTTTGCTGAGAATCTCTTTGATGTATGATTCCAAAATCAGAAAGGAAGTCTTGAGGTCATCTGATTCATGCCTCTGCCTCTGAGAGGCAGTTTGGTAGAGAATGAAAGTTCTTCCAAGGATATGAGTGTCCATGGATCTCACAGCTGATCCACAGGGTCTGGGACAGAAGCTTCAATAGGACACAAGCAAAGCAGTCTCAGTTTACCTTCAGACAAATCAGTTCACTTTCTGCACAGACACCATGAGGTCCAGCGCCTCTAAAATCCACCATCCTTTTCTTACTGTTGGCTAATGGGACAATGTCTGTAGAAGACTCCTATTGAAAAATACAAATATGTTCTCAGAGGATGAATAAGTTATTGAACCAGCAGAGAGGGGGGACCACTGTGCAGTAAGCTTTTCAGGGGAGTAGGAGGGTAGAGTAGAACTGAGGTTATATCTCCAGGAGCATGAATACACTGGTGTGCCTCAGTGGGTCCCAGACATGCTGGGGACATGAAAGCACCCGGAGGAGGGGACTCAGACAGTGTGGGGTGCACGAAGGCAGATATGGCAAACTCGGCCATTTTGACCAATTTTTGAAGTGATTAAGATTGTCAGAGTACAGTTACCTTAATTTTCTCATGTGACTGTCATGACAACTGAATGAGGTACTTAAAGAGGATCATGATCGTCACTCCATAATTTCCAGTGAGGAAACTGAGGCCCAGAGCAGTCAAGTAGTCTAACTATCCCTATACATATGCAGCGAAAGTGGTGCTAGAGGTTATTTCTTTTAAGTCCTGCTTTAGTACTCTTTTTATTAAATTCTGCTGCCTCACTGACTTGGACAACCTACCAACAAAGCAAAAACAATAAAATAAAAAGAATACTAACAGCCTGCTTTTATGATGCCACTACTGTGTAGCAGAATGAGAAACACTTCATCATTTATTAATTATCACCTACAGTTTACGGATTTGGGAAAAGAGTCATGGACGGGATAAATAATGGCCCGCACTCCTGCAGCTCATGAGGGATGGGGCATGGACTCAGATCCAGGTCTGCCTGCTGGCAAAGTCGGGAAGTGCTCAGAGCTCTGGTGCTAAAGGATCTGTGGGTTAGAAGGGTCTTAAAGAAGGCTTGGCATAATCATCCATCTAAATCCTTCTCCAGGGCCCCCCTAAATGGTTCTTTATGTGTTTGGCCTGAAGAAATCAACCTACCTATTTCCAAGGAAAGCCTATTTCATGTCAGGCCAGTACTTGTGTTTATACCACCAAAGGCAGAGATTTGTCTTCTTTCATCAGCAGATACAAGAACATTTTCATAGGAAAACACTTAGATAGCTCACTCGAGGTCAATCCAAGACTCACAAGGTCTGGGGGTTGGCTGCTGCTGTTTTAGAGGAAAGGGGATTCCTACAAGAGGATGAGTTGCAGTCTTCAGAGGGCTTGGAGAATGGGAGTATGAAAAAAGAGGGGGGAGTAAAACGGTGGCATGCTGTGTACTTCTTCATGTTACTGCCTCCTTAACCATCCCCCCACCCCAAATAAACAAAAAACAAAATTTCATCAAAGTCTATAAAACACTAAAACACTTGTTTGGAATTTTATGGAAATCTTTGAAAGGCTTGGTCTGGGGTTATTGCCAGCAGAATGGAGATTGCACTTGTATTCAAGGGAGCTGCACCCGTGAGTGTAATGCCCAGACAACTGGCAAATGACTTTCGGGGGCTGAGTCTTTCTAGAAGGTAGTGTGGGAGGTTGTGGTAGGTCTAGTTAGATCTCATTGTCTAGGGAGAGTTATAGTTAGAAGACTTTTTCCAGATCATTGCCCTCATAGTTTTTCTTTTAGTTGGATGGTTCCAAGCAGAGAAAAGGAAAATTAGTCCAGTAAACTCTTGACATGCCAATGAGATACTTTTTGAGGCTTTCTCAAGTCTTCATCTTCATGAATATTACCTACCAGAGCCCATGATCTTCTGTACATTAATCTGAGACTTGAGGGAGATAGTATCTCCCCAACAGGGCTTTTATGAGGATTAGTGAAATCATATATTAAGTGGAGATAAAACTCCATAAAAAATTTGATTCCAGGCAGTCAGTTAAGCTCATTCATTTGCTAAATGACTTGCTTTTCAGAGTGTGATACAAATTTGTGCCTCAGTAAAATTGAAGAATGGTGGCACAACATGGCCTTTGGAGTGTAGCTTGAAAATAACTGAAACCTTAAATATAAACATTTCAAGTGCTGAGATTCATGGTATCAAACACTGTAAAGAATCTTTCTTATTTCTCTGTTTGAAACCCCCAGGTCTTTGCATGTCAGCCATCAGTTTTGCACTTAAAAAGATGAATGATCCAGAATAACAGTGCCATTTTTTTCTGTCCAGCTACTAATGATTTCATCTCTGAGGTCTAATTGTAGTTCTCCCTTTTAGTAATTAATATCCAAAGAGCAGGTGGTAACTGTTGATTAGAACCCCACTCCTTGCCTCTTATATCATCAGCAAAGCTAGAAAGAGATGTTGTCTAACTGTTGCTGGCATCATGTTAAAGACCAAGGAAAGGGCTGGGATCAGAGATCAGAGCTTGGCTGGATGCCAGGTGTGTGAGCTCAGATCATCTTGTTTTTGTCTCCTGGGAGATTTGTGAGAGGCAATAACTCCACTTGTTTGATTAGAGAACATAAATCTTAGAGAGAACGAGTGAGATTGGTATCACAAATAATTTTTGAAATGATAGGGTGGTTGCAAACACATTGTGAGCACCCATAGACAAGCTGGAACTGCAAATCTGCACATTTATACTATCTACGTGAGCCCTTAGCTCCCGACCTGGAATGATAGACTCTCCTTGGAAAGTAATCAGCTCAGGTCCCCCAGCCTCTGAAGATAAAGATACAGGAAGCAATGACAAGAAGGGAGAGGGTGAGAAACCGCACTCCTAGGATGATCAGAGTAGATCAGCAGAATGACTGGGGAATGTTGTTTCTTGCAAGAAAGACAGGTCATTATCGCAGAACCATCTGGTGGCAGAAGAACAAGAAGGGGGATGGAGGCGCTAAGCGGTGGTCACGTAGCCTTGTCTTACTGTTTGCGGACGCCCACGATCAAGCTATTTCCTGACACAAGTGGGTCAGCTAATAGCCTAGGCTCAGGAAAGAACAGAGCTTTAGGAATAAAGCAATAAGAAAGAGGACCTGCAGAGGCTGCAGGGTTCCTCCAGTAAGGACACTTTGAGACCCTCCCTGAAACTTTCTGTAACACAGGCAGGGTAGTCTCCAGACTCAGGGAGAGTGAGACTAGTCTGGATTCAGGTGGGCCAGTTGCTAGGAACCTCAGTGTTAGATGGCATTTGTGGGACCCCCATCTTTCAATCTGGCCTGCATATGCCTTACGTTTAGCTCCCATTAATGATTACAGAATGATTGGACTAGTCACTAAGTCTAAAATATCAAGGTATTTCACATAAAATGCAGATTTCTGGCTCCACTTGAGTGGAAAATCCGGCAGTTCTGGGCCTACATTCTCACATAGCAACATTTGGGTGGAGTTGGGTAGCCCCTGCCTCCTGAGGCCAGGGAGCAACTGTCCACTCCACCATGTTTCCCATTCATCCATTCATCTGTTTCACTCAAAGCCCCTGGAGGCATCTGTATTTGTTACTCCTGCTCTAGAATGCAACATCAACAAAGGCAAGGGATGCAAGTTTATATTCTCAGTGGAGCTTTGTTCCCAGCACAAGTCTGCACAGTGCTGGACAGTGCAGCACTTCAATTTATTTATAAAATAAACAAATTAAATATTTAATAGCAGATAGTGAATGAATACAGCTCTGCCAAAGCAAAGCAGATGTGCATTTAAATCTAGGCTGTGTGATCTTGGGTGAGGGATTGAATTTTTTAAGCCTCCATTTCCTCATTTATAAATTTGGGATAAAAACACTGACCTGGTAGGGCTGTCTGCAAGAATGAATGCACAATGCTTATCGTGGCATTGGCACTTAGAGAACACCCAGGAAATATTTGCTGAATGGCTGAAACAATGTTTAGTTGCATGGCTGTGATCCATGGGCCTCCTTTGTTGGATAAAGTAGAAATTAATTCCATTAAACAAGCATGGGAATTGCAATGGGCCAGAAAAGAATAATAAATGGTGAACAAAATAACGTTCTCGCGGAAGTGAGGGTTTGCTAGGCAGGGAAGGGGAGCTCATTCCTCAGTTTCATGTGGATCAGGGCAACAGCGGAAATTGCCTGAAGAGGGAGAAGGCCGCTGGGTGAGTTATAGGGATGGAGGCAGGGGTTATGCTCACAGACTTTAAGGACTAAAGGATGTGTAATTCCTGCCAGGCTCTCTGCTAGACTCCTGAATACATTAGAGACCTCAGACTCCTGCATCAGGCTATGAATGCAGTAATACTCACTGTTTGGGGTTGATCTAATTGGTTAATACACGAATCCATACAACATCTTAACACACTGGCTAGCACATAGGGGATTCTCAGCAAATGATTGATTTGTTGGTATGTGAGGGAAGCTCTGCTTTGAGGTCTGCTGTCCTGACTGCTATTTTCTCTTTCATCCCTTTGTCAAGGGACCCTGGTCCATCCGCCTTCCTTCTCTCGGTTTGTTTCCTGCAACGTAAGAGGGTTAGTTTGTGTAGTGGAGGCTCTGGAGTGCCACCCCAAACTCGCTTCAGAACAAAGGCATTCAACACCCCAGTGGCTGAGAGCATTGGCAGCTGATGGCCCATCACAGAGCTCCTCCTGGAGAACTGCTCTCAGCCAAAGGTTAGCTGCCTCATCCAAGGTTACACCCATGCCCTCCCTGGGCGCAGCTCCGTGCAGAGGTAGGAAATGCAGAGCGGCTAGATCAGGACGCCTCTGTAGGGCCGTCTCCGTAGGGCCATCTCCGCTTCGCAGCTCTTCCTGGAATCAGCTGAATCCTGTTTCCCTGTAATTCCACTTCTCCCTCTGCCTAGTCCTATTTCCTTCATTCTCTTACAGATGTTTTCCAGGGAGCACTGTCCAAGGGACGTCTGAGCACAAGTCTCCCTTTCTGAATCTATTTCCAGGGAGCCTGATCAATGGCCGTTTGGGCGATTTCAGCTTAGTCTCTCTGAGCTCAAAGTGTTTTGGCTTATTGTATTGGGTTAGATTACAAGAAAGTGGCATGTAATACAGAGGAATATCAAGGTTATCTTCTGACAAAATCCTTTAACCTAGACCATAGAGAATTCTTTCTATATAAAAATAACATGCGATTAAGGCAAGTATTTTCCGGAAAGATGTGAGGATTCAACTAAGTGGCAGACCTCCGTGCAGCTGATACA